AACAATGATTTTAAGGCCTACATCTTTTACAAAAGAATTATTGCTTTTGAAGTTTATATAAAGGAATTATAGGGAGTTGAAGGAGGTGCTTCCAAATCAAAGATAGTAAGTAAGAAATTTTATTTATAGTAATGGTTGGAGCAATAACTTGAGTTTATGGACGAATTTTTGGCTCAAATTTTTTAGAAAATATAATATTTTGTGTTAAAAAGCTATACATATAAATTTTGTTGCATTTGAGCTTATATTTTGTGATATATAAAGAAAATTGCATGCATGTGTATAAAGATAAGGATTTAAAGTGTCTGTTAGGATTTTCAAGATATCTCAAGATCCACAATGAATTTGTAGTTGAAATTTATTATAGAAGTTAATAAGAATACATTAGTACCTTTTGTAAAATTTGAGTTTTTTTGGATGGTCGAATTAAAAAATATGACGTATTGAAGTTTGGAAAAATCTCCACATAAGGATATATAAGGTTTTAGAGGATTTTTTCATATTTTGGATGTTGTTAGTTACTTTAGGCTTATATATTTCGTGTAATTACTCAAAAAAAGAAATTTTATATATAAACTTAAGGTGTCTCTTATTTTGAAGCTTGATTGAATAATTAGTGGCAGCTAGAAACCTAATATTTTTTTGAGGAAAATTCTCTCTATCCCAACACTATGAGCTTAGGTCATGTGGTAGTGGATTACACTTGCAGAAATCACATCTAGATTGGCCAAGGTCATGTTGGCTTTGGCCATGTTATTTTAGGCTATTCTAATAAGAGTCATGCTAATTAAGACAATAGTTTGGCAAGCATACAATGTATTAGCTTTATTGTAGGGCCATGCTATTATAGGACCATTATTGGCAATGAAATTCTTGTTAAATATGAAATGGCTATAGATAGGTTGACTATAAGGACAATAAATGACATATAGATATGAGTGGTTGATGGTGCCATCTATATCTTAGTAGGGATTAGGGCTGCTATTACCACTAGTACTCTATTAGAATGAATGGCCATTGTTGCTATTAAAATAAGTATAGATAAGCCACATAAAGGAGGAAAGAAGGTAGTAGTACTCATCTGAATTATAAGAGATTGTATAAGTATCTTGATAGTATGCAAAGAGCTATTATTATACTAATGGAGGTTGATATTGGCTACAAATATCAGAAGAAGGTAGATATAGCTTGTGAGTTGGAATTTGGGCTAGAAGCGAGGCTATAAAGATATGGATGCTTGATCTTGTAAGTTTGGTTGGTCATGAAATTGATAAAGTAGAGTTGAACAAGGTAAGTACTTGCACAAAAATCAAAGTAGTAGGTATGCTATTCAAAGGATCTTGGTCAAAATCTACAACTTGTAATTGCTTGAGATTAAGAATGATAAGGCAAGATTGTAAGTGATTAGCAACCATAAGGTGTTAATAATCTATAATAGATTATAGATTAATTATTGCAATAGAAAGGTACAGATAATCTGTAATTGAGCAAGGCTTGTAATCAAAATAAAGAATATTGATGTATAAATCCTATGAGGTGGTTATCAAATATTAAAAATTATAGTCTTGTATGTGAAGTGAAGAAAATATTAATAAAATTCTTTTATTAAAAGAATATAGATTGGCTTGTTTAGAGATTGAAAATCAATAAATGTCACCAATTTCAGATGTTTTAGTACTGATAACACATGTATTACTGATAAATTTAATTTATATATACTCAATCTTTGTGAATTGAGCGATTGATAAAAGATTCTTTTTCAAACTTAGAATATATAAGATATCTAAAATCTATATATATTGACTAAATTTAAATCATAAGATAATAGATTCGATGCCTTAAATAATATGAAAACTATTATCTCCTAATAAAACAAATTTTGGTGACGTAAATAGAATATAGTTGTTGAAAAAGGTATTCAAAGAAGCCATATTGTTGCTAGTTCTAAAATCTAGATATCATGGTTGACCAAGAATATCAACATATACTACCATAATAAGATATAATGGTATCTTTGCAACATAAGATCTTCTTGATTTGATTTGTTCATGTGATTTTTCTATTTCTTGTAATATTTTGGAAATTTGTGTTTTTATTTTCCACAAAAATAGGAGATAATATGATTAGTTGGTAGATTGGAATCATTACTTTTATTTTGATTACTTCACAATGTATAAATATCACATATGAGATAATATAATTAGTTAGTAGGTTGAATTAAATCATTACTTTTATTTTGAATAGTAATAAATATACTCTATAAATCAAAAAGAAAAATTAATAATAAATTAACTTGTTGTAGTTAAGTAAAAATATAACCACTAATAGCAACTTTCTTGAAGATATATTATTAATTTTCTATAAATGCATAAATATCTTTATTCTCATCTATAGTTAAATAACAAAGCTTCTTATAGAAATATACCTAAGAAGCTTTATTGGATTGTTTGCAAATATGTTTGATATAATTCTAAATTGAATTTTAATATAGCTAGTTTGTATAGTGTCATAAGTTGTTTAACTCTACAATGCAAAAGTAATTTTGCATGGGTATTGACATCCTTCAAATTCTAGGCATGATGTTGCACCAAATTACTTATATTGAATGCAACCTCAAAGCTATTAATTACTCTCCATATTTCTACTCAACTTATAAGAGCCTCCAATTTAATACTCCAAATACAATAATTACTTAGAAAAAACAAAGATATTAATGGAATACAAGAAGAATTATAAAAAACTTTAGTACTTGGAATTTTTCACTTATACTAAAGAAAATAAAGGGAAATTAGTACTTTGATACCACATAAGAGAAAGAATACTAAAAATGATAATAAAGCAGAAATATATTAATAAATAACTTGATTACATCATATTGATAAAAAAAAATTATATTATCTTGTACAAAGAGGTAGTTGTAACTTTTCCATAACTACTTTGTAACTACCTAAAGATAATTCTATATTTATTAAAATATATTAATTAATTTAATATATATTAATAAATCTAATAGAATTGGTATCTTGTATAAGTAGCTTATGCATGTCAGTTGTTGTAGGTTGCGGATGTGAGCGGCAAAGCAATTTGAAAGGTCAAGGTTGTGTATTAGTTTGAATAGGTTAAATTCACAATTGGTTCTATAATTCTTTTTATAAGGGTGTTTGGAGGAAACAAGAAGTTTGCAAGGAATCTTTGATTGCCATGAGATCTGTGCCCAGAAGACTTATTAGTAGTAAAAGAGTGTTGTTTGACAAGTTTACTTGATAATTTGAAACAAAGATAATTGGAATTGATTCTCAATTTTCTACCACTGCTTAATATTGACATGCTATTGATTGAAAATAAAGCTCATGTACAAGCAAACAATTTAATGGAAATAAGATGTGAAATATTAAAAACTTTATTTGTGATCAATCTACATTCTATGTTGCAAGTGCATTGAGTTTTTTGAATTTGAATTTATACCATTTACTTCAATTGCTATGAGTAATATTGATATCTAAATCTACATGAATGTGATTGGTGTGAAAAAATTGTAGTAGCTAAGATTGGATAAACAATAAAAAATACATTTAATCTTCCATAATAAATATCATTGACTACCTATAATCTTAAATTATTTATTTGATTTTAAGTAATAAAATTTTATCAATTTCTTCTAAACTTTGCATGATTATAGATTCTAAAAATATTTTTGAATTTAAAAATATAATATATTTTTTAGAAGTAAAGAAGGAAAGTGGAAAATGCTTAGTATGGTACAAAGAACCTTTCTTCAAGAAGCAATGTATACATTTATTTTTTAAAAAAAAACCTAAACATAGCAAAGAATGATAGATGGTTGAAATAGGCAAAGTAGATTATGTACCTTTCACTTGTTACTTTGGCTATTATCTATGAGGAGAGAGAAGGGGAGAAGAGAGAGGGATCTTACAAATATTTGACAATATCTTTCTATACTAAAAAAATATTATATATATATAAATATATATATATATATATATATATATATATATATATAATACTTATTTACCACTTAAAAAATTTGAAAAACATTCTAATACATGCAAAATATTTTAATACAAAGTGTAAAATAAAAATAAAATGAGTAAACCTCATTCAATACATTTTAATATTTCTAATTTATTTTTAAAAATTATTCTTCTTTATGATTGTAAAAAAATGACATGAATAATAAAAAATAAAAAAATAAAAAAATAAAATTGATATAAATTTAAGTTTAAAAAATGATTGTTATATAAATATTTATAATATAAAATCATGATATGCTCTAAAAATTATGCTAATTAATGCTTATAAGAAGGCAAGACAAGTAGCACCTTAATCTTGTTAATACAAGTTTTGGAATAATTATAGTATTTTCTTGTTTCTAATTTTACATCTAGTTTTTTTTCTAATGTAACCTAACATCTTGTTCTTTATGTATTTTCTTTGCATAATAATTCCTTTTGGTATCCTTAACATACATATTAAAATATTAATTTTGTATTAAGACATATAAAAATAAAACAACATAATTTAAAATAATCACTAAACTATGAAATTATTTTATGAAGTCATATACTTTTTTTGATATACTAAATATAATGGCTATAATTTTTTAATATTTACTTGCTTTAAATGAAAGTAAATCACAAAGTTTTTAATTGATATAATTATTTATTTTAAATAATTGAATTTAAAATAAAACATATCACTTATTAAAATTTGATCAATTATTACTATGATAATTGAATATTTAAAGTTCCTTTAAGTTTTAAATATCAGATTTATCTGAAACGTGATATTTTGATTTAAATATTCTTGTCTTTTGAACTCTGGCAACTGACCGGGTAAAAATCGCTCCGTGGTCGGTGTATTTAGGCCGATATGGCAGGGTATGTTGACCTATGTATCAAATGCCGCCAGTTGTACCATGACTGCCGCAAGGTGACGCCCAGAGACGCTGGCGCTAGTCAATTGGACTCACCGCAACGGGGTTGCTAGCAGCTTTGTACCAAGACAAGCATCAAAGCGAAGAAGGGTTTTAGGGGGTGAAATTTTACCAAAATTTTGTATCTTAGATCCACTTCTACCTGCGTGCTGCACGAATCAATCGCAAGGTTGCACAGCTTGTGCAATATCGGAGAGGAGCGTGTGCCTTGGGGTTGAGGAATAGAATTTTGTGAGGTGATTGAGAAGAGTGAGAGATATGGCGCCGGCGTTGATCAACGCTAACCCGATTGTCCATGAGAAGAAGAAGAGGACGTCTAAGCCACAGGCGAATTATAACGACGCTATACCTGACGTGATCGACGAGTTAGAAATTTTTGATATCCTTTTTCATTTGCTTTCATCAGTGTTAATTGATGGGATTTGTATCATTTGTGGTTTTAGGTCTCTGAAGGCAGCCATCATTGTTGTGGGTTTGTTCAGAAGTTTTGTGTAGAGTGCTAGGCAGAGGAATGGAGAGTGGTTGGGAAAAAAAACAGTGTGTCTTGTAATTTAGTCGAGCGTTGGACGTGCTTGTTTTCGGGGAATTTGAACCGCATAAAATTGCCATATCTTGGGTCTCAGGTGTACAGTTGGGCAGGATCAATTATGCAGTGGTTTGTTTGGAAAAGGCGACGAATTGAATTATTCTCAACAATTGCCGTGTCTGATATTTTATTGATACATCTAATTTTTTGTAGTTTATGATCAAGCAGACGTCTTTTAACTCTCTGCCTTGCTTAACCAGTAGCAAAATTGAATCAGCTTCCATAATGATAAAATTCTTTCATATAGCCAGTATGCCTTAAAATGTGGTGGTTCTGTTAACCTTGACTCCTATCTGCACATCATGTGAGAGACATAACGGATCCTGAGCATCCCTACTCCCTCGAGCAGCTAAACGTGGTGACAGAGGATTCTATTTTTGTGGATGATGCGAAAAATTATGTCAAGTAAATGGCCTCATGCATTTTTTTGAAGTTTGATTGGTTTTCAAAGCAATTATATCTGGTGTTTCATTTTTCAACCTTGTACAAATGATCATATTTATGCATAAAGCTGATTTCTCCTTCTGTAATTCTGTAGTTCTGGTTTGTTGGTGCCTTTGTTGCGCTTGTGAAGTGAAATGGCTTCGTAAAGTTAAGTGGCTTTATTTGGCGTCAAATTTTTGGTGGTTGAGCAGGATTACTTTCACGCCCACGGTGCAACACTGCAGCATGGCTACTATTATTGGTCTCTCCTTGCGGTTGAAGCTTTTGCGTTGCCTTCCGCCACGCTTCAAGGTTTTTGTTCACACCCGAACTCAATTGTACAACTATTGTGTTGCAAATCTCGTGTTGCATAAGTCCTGCACGTTTTATTAGTAATTTTCACTGCTCATTCTTGATGTACCAAGTGTTGATTTCCTTTCATCTATCAGCTGTTGCAGCTGTAAGACTGATCACGTGTCATTTAATATTCCGCATTGAGTCTTATTCTATGCAAGTTTACTTATTCGACGGTTTGGTAAAATAGGTGGATATTTTTCTCGCTCCGGGCTCTCATTCTACTGAAGCCGCAAGTAAGTTCCATCTGGCTTTACACGGGACGTTGTTGGAAAAGCTATTTATGTTTCGAATCATAGGGTTTTGTCTTTTATTAAATTTATTTTTTCATTCTGATTCAAAATTTTGATTTGGACGCTGCAGTTAACAAGCAGCTAAATGACAAGGAGAGGGTGGCAGCTGCTTTTGAAAACCCAAATCTCGTTGATCTCGTGGAAAAATGCTTGGTCTCAACCGAAGAGTAGTTCTGGACCATCCCCGGCAATTAATGTCTTGAGATGCAAAGTAGCATTAGCGTTTTATTCTGCTTTTAGTAATCGTTTTCAGTGTGCATCTGGGCTCGTGGTATTCGGATGCTCTAGATTTTGCATGTCATTTGCACATCATGTAAAATACTTGATAGTGATCTCGCCTTTCAGAGGTTGCTTGTGGATAGTGTTAACTTCCCCCGGGGCATTTTTGATAGTGCAAGGAAAGACTTAAAGCGATTGATGGTTTCCGAAAGCCAGCATGGTTGAGGGGACGGAGTAGCTTGCTATCAGTTGTTCTCGACAGGAGCCTTTCCTTGTTTTGGGGAATGTTTACAATGTTCTAGAAATTGAGGTATCGCTCCATTGGCATGAAAAGGCCATTGTTTTGTTCTTTATATCCTCGACACTCTTTGTGACAGATAACTTGTAAATTCCCTTTCGAGACGAAGTGTATTCCTTGTAATGCGTGCTTCAACGTATCTGTTTTTGGTTCAACGTAGCATGTCGTTCTTTTATTTTGGAGAAGCAACATTTATGTGGAAGTTTTTAGTTGGAGAATGGGGGAAAATCGCCTTCTGTTATCGGTACTCTTCCAGTATGGACCTTCACCACATGGGCAGTGATTCCCAACTGCTGGTGATGTAAAAAATGAGTGGACATGTAACTATCTGGACTTGAGCGTGATGGCATCAGCCGAAGTCCCGGGTGTCTTGAGAGCTCGTGGGGGTCTCATGAGCGGTCCAAATCAGATGAAAACCCGGGCATCGCTCCCCAAACCTTGTGTGGCCATCGCTCTTCTAGTAGGTCATGCAAGAGTTCATGACCACAGGACCTTTGGGTGTGAAAGGGAGCAGGGATTCTTGATTTATGTTCACGGGTATCAAGGTCATGTGTTCTCCAAGGATGTAAATGCGAACAGGTGCATCTGATGATCGTTGTCCAACCTCTGTAGGGAGCGTCACTGCTCAACGTTCGCCTTTGGGATTGTGGTTCCGGATTTCAGATGGTTACACTTCTATGTTTGTAGAGAGGATTTAACATCATGTTTCAAACTTCTCAGCAAATCCATGCACTTTCGTCATCGAAGTTATCCATTATACGAACCGTTTCATCAACCAATCGTTAGTCTGTTCTCTTAAACCGTTCCAACAAGCATGGACATTTGCCAGGAAGGTAGACGACCGCACACAACCTCCAGCCTCGGTTGAGATCTTGTAATACAGTTGAGTTTACAAGGTCCGTTGAAGTGGGTGAATGCGCAGCTGGCTTTGGGTTAGTTATTATCCGCGTTGTGCTTCCCCTCTTCATCATCCTGTTCTTCACATCTTTACCTGGAACCCACAGTTGCGATTTTTCGCCATCGGGGATATGATGCCCTGAAATATTATTTTAGTCTGTTTTTGGCAATCTTTCGGTCTTCGAAACTATACACGATCCAACCACTTTGGCGAATCTTTTGTTGTTAAGCCTGCTTCTTCAAAGCCCTTTGAGGCAACATATCTGAAAAGGAGAGAGAAAGTGGGTAGAAAGGTAGCTGTGTTAGCATTTCCGGTGATACATTTCGAGGTGATGGGTATCTTCAGGTTAGCCACCCCGTTTTAATGCATCGTAACAGCGTTGGAAGGATGTCATAAACCGGGCATTTGAGCAAAGCATATGTTTCACAAATCTATCAGTAGGCCAGCTGCAGCCGTTATTATGCTGATATTCGGTTTCGAGTTTGACAGACGTGTCGAGAGAGATATTATCTCAGTCGTTCGGTTGCCTTTGGATATAGTTTAGCTCTGCATCCATCAGCACATTTTCTTAAGGCATTGCACTGGCTGCAGACAGAAGCAGGCCTTGCCAAGGTCGGAGACAGCCATGCTGGCTGCCGCAGATCTAGGTCCAATTCACCTTAACCTGGATAATTACCGGCTCACTTTTGAAGATTGTTCGTGGACTCCAGGTGCACGCCAGTTAATCCTCGTGAGACTAACTTTGCTTTAACACGTTCTGGTTCTTTTGAAGCCTGCGTGCTTTTATTCTGTATACAAAAATATTCATTCTGCTTCTTAAACCTCGTAAATCTGGAGAGTGAGTGCACCGACTCACATACAGCACAAAAATTGTTAAAATCGGTCCCTCAAGTTTTGGTTTGTAATGCCCATCACCTATTTGGAGCATACACCATCTTTCCCCAATTATTTGTGTTTGCAATGTGTCAGAGTACGATGCCCCAGAAATGCCAGAGGGCGTTGGTTCCGTAGAAGAAGAGATTTGCAAGCTTCGAAGAGAGAAGCGAAGGATGGTACACAATCAACCAACCAATCAATCAATCACAAAGCTCCAGTGGCGATCCTACACTGGTATGGAAGTTACTTAAGCAACTGTAAATGCATAACACAATCCATCTGTTGTGGTGAACCTGCGTAAACAGAAGAAGGATCTCGACAAATTCATGGCGCAAGCGAAGGAGATGAAGGATTTGAAGGAGAAGTGGAACTTGCTAGATTTCAAATACCAACTTCTGCTCGACATGGTACAGATTACTTCAAGAACAAACCTACCCATCCAACATATAAACCCTGTTCGCAACATTGGGGGATAATTTTGGAAAAATACGTTGAAATCCTACCGAATGTTGTCTTGTGAACGCAGTGGACCATGAGGGCATTGGATGAGAAGGAGGAGTGTGAAGGAAGCTATAGAAGAAGACCCCACTCCACAGGCGGCATGTCACTCAGCCGAGAAGGCTCCCCGAAACGATGTTCCCCAAAACGGAGCTCCCCGAAACGCAGCGGGCGGTATGAGATCACTCCTCCTTCGAGGAGGAACCGCCATCCCTGTTGCAACGACGATCCCTCGCCTTCCAAACGAAGCGAGCGATGCCATTAAGCAAAGCAAGTTTTGCCGCGGGAATGCAGCCAGTCTTGTGGCTGCTAGAGAGTCGGTTCTGTATGTGTGTCGGTGCCGGCGTCTCGTCTGCCTCCAGACATGATCATCTGGTAACAAACAGGAGAGTGTCGCGTTGACACTAACCATCAACTCTGTTTTTATTTTTTGTAATTTTAATGTTTGGGAGTCTTTGTATGATCGAGATGACAGATTAGAATGAAATCTCTAAAACATATATTTGGATCTGTGATGTCCATTGATTGATTGATTGATATATATATATATATATGTATATGTATATATATATATACACACATATGTACATGAAAGGATATAGCCAAGTATATTAGTTGAAGGCAAAATAATAATAATGATTGGAACACAGGTATGCAGATATATGTATTTTTCTAAAATTAAGGTTTTGGACTTTTCTTTTTATATCATTCACTTTGAATTTCATTGCAACATCTTAGAATGGTTTTATTATTTTTATGATAAAAACTATCTTATTAACATTGTTTAGACTTTACATGCAAGATTTTATGATCTTAGTAATAACATATGTATCTATAGATATATAGATTATAGACATTCATATATATTTGCATATGTTATTGTTGGAATGGATTACAAATGAGCATATATAGAATACATGCAATCTAACAAAAAAGATACATAATGTAAGTGGTTCACCTTAGAGTTGAAACTATGACCAGTAGAGAATACATGAATGAATTTGATTTCACTAAAGAATATGCTCATTGTGCAGCAAAGTGATGTTTGTATGAGGTTTGAATGAAATCTTTAAAAAACCATCACTAACTTTAGTGCCTTTACTAAGCTAGTTCTAAATTAGACTTAGATCAATGCACAAAGGTGATGCCCTTGCATCCTTGCCAAGTACTATTATTGTTTTTTTTTCAATCCAAGCTCTTGACTGAAATTTAGAATCTAATACTTCAAGGTGAGCACCTCTTCTTGTCAACCTTCACCAATGGAGACCGCTCACTTCTCCTTATCTTTGCATTTTCAAAAAACCATTAACACCACCATCTTTATGCACTTCAACATAACATTCTTCAAAAACTTGTCCAACCTCATTGAGAAGCTCTTTATCATAGCTCAACCTCTATTATTCTTCACTATCACCCATTGTTGCTTCTGCATAGGCACCACCAAAACATATCACCTCATCTTCACATGCCCAATGGTGGCCCATTGTCCAACCATTGTTGCCATACTCTTTGTCGCATCTTTGCTCCAAATGACAAACTTCAATGCTACATAGTAAATATGCTTTGGTACTAATTGTTAGAACTAATCACAAATGTGCATATAAAAGAATAGATGCAATTGAGTAAAAAAAATATAGAATATAAATGATTTCTTTTAGAGCTAAAGCTATGTCCACTAGAGAATATATACAAGAATTTTATTTCATTAGATAATACACTTATTGTACAATATAATGATGTCTATACGAGATCTAGGCAAAATTCTAAAAAAAAATATTCCTAATTCTAGTATCTTTATTAAATTAGCTCTTAATTGGATGTGGATCAATTTATAAAGGTTCTACCTTTGCACCATTGCTAAAAAAAGGGGCTAAAAACAAATCCTTCCAACCTCTCTCTCCCCTCGTTTTTTAGAACTACCATGAAGGTTATTAGAAATTGATGGACAAAGTCCACTAATAGAACTCATAGTGACATAATACAAGACACATATTAGCAATTATATCTTAATTTTTTTAAAAGAAGGCTTTCAACAATATATTTTTTTATATATAATCATTTTTATTTTAAGATATTAGTTAAATTAAATTTTTTTATAGATAGAAAATCTAATATATTATATTAAAATTCTTCTAATAAAATAATTTGAATTATTTATGAAAAAAATATTCTAATTTTAAATATTTTAAATATATTATATTTCGTATGAAAATTAAATATATAGTAATTTATATATAGATATAATTATATATATAGTTTGATTATAAAAAAATATACATAAAAATAATAAATATTTTTTCATACAAATCTTAATTTGTTTAACGTATTAAACTTAAAATCAAGTTTTTTTCTTTTAATATATAATTATGAATAATAGAAAATTTAAAACTAAAATTTTATATTTACTCTACTTTTGAACCATTGCAAATTGATTTTTACAAAATAAAACTATTACTATATTAAATCCTCTATTAAATTTTAATTCTATTATTTTTACATGATATAAATTATATTATAACTTTGATATATATATATATATATATATATATATATATATATATATATATATATATAAATAATAATTTTAAGTTAATTTTTATGTTAAACCAATTTTCATTAAATCCTATATACATTTCTAAAAAATATTTACTTTTATATTTTAATTTCAAAATAAATAAATATTTATAAAAGAAGAAGTAAAAATTTTAAAATATTTTTTATCATTGACATAAAAATAATAAAAATATAAATAAATAATAAAATTATATATTTTAAAATTATAATTTTTTATTTTTTTTCTAATAAATGAAGACCTCATTTAAATACAAACTATAGCATTAAAGACTGTTAAGTATTAGTTGAAATAAAAAATATATATATATCATAATACATTAGATCTAATAAAAATAAATATTAGTTTTGGAAATCAAAGATTTTCATCAAAACTTAAACATCAAATTTTCAGCTGCATATAATCTTAACAAATGTTTTAGAAAAGATCTTTCTAACACCACTAACAATTAGTTACAAACCATAGACATGAAAAAAGAAAATAATGAAACAAAAGACCAATAAAAATTATAAAGAAATAAAATAAGGAAAATATAGGCTTTAATAGCAACAAAACAACAAAATCTATTCTAATAAAATCCAATTGATATAACTTAGATAAAGATTTTAATAGTACCATATACCAAATATATTAAATAAAGTTTTTTTAGCTTAAAGAAATCAAAAAGATTATTGAATAGAATATTAAAAAAAAATACGTAGGTACTTTTAATTTCTTAGAAATGCACAATAATAGATTCAAATTTATAATCGAAATTTTTAAAATTCCTCTTTATTTGACTTGTACCAAAGTTTGGTATATTTGAATATGAAAATTCATGTTTAAGTCCTCTAGATCTATGTCTACAATTGTAAATCATTGTACTTAAAATAAACATGATTTCTTAAAGAAATATTATTATCAAATTATTATTAATCATCTAAGTTGCAACAATGCACAATAATCTTTTTGTACTAGTATATATGTATTAAACAACTTGAAAGATAGACCAAATCCTTTGACAATTGAAATGAGACTCAATTATACTAAACAACCACTACATCAACTAGACTTAGGTCTACTAGATTATATTTTTGCAAGATGGTTATATCTCTACATCAAGTAATATTACTATTTTCTATTCTAACAAAAAAAAATATATTCATATTATTAAAAAATTAATATAAATCTAATACACATATGTATTATTTAAAGATGGTAGTGAGCTTACATAGAATTCTATCGCTAATACATATTACTATAGTATAAAATATACATATATTATAAAAATATATAGAGGCAAGAATGAGCCATTTTCACTCTTGTCATCTCCTTTCTTGCTTCTAGTCTAGATTTAAGAGTCTTTAGTTTCCTTGTCTTTTAGTAATAGCTATTTCAATTTTTTTTTACTATACATATTACTTTATTGTTGTTTTGTCACTTTTCTTTTAATACAGATTTTTCAGGTTTATGCATCTTCTTCCAGTTCATTTCCTTGACACATTGACAAGAATATACTTATAATATTAGAGCTTTGTCTTCTCTTGATTAAGAGTGGATTACTCATTTTTCTCGATAAAACATAAGCATATTAGAAGTTGCAGATTATTCTCTTCTAAAATAATATTATTTTTAGTATCTTCTTTATTCTTAAGTCCCTTCTTTTGCTTGTCTTAAGGAATATTAGACATTTATTTTCTAAGTATTATTATGGCAAAGCTTATTGAAATGAAGAGTACAATGGCATAAATACAAGAGTAATTGAGGAAGTTAATACTTGCAATACATCAACTCAATTTACTACCACAAGAAGCAACAAGAATAGCACAAAGTAAGGATATAGATATGATTGGAGCTGCTTCAACATCTGTACTCAATCATATCCCTTCTCCTACAGTAGAACATCCTTCTAGTATTAGAGAAACAAGAAGTTTTATGGCACAAGATCCAAGTTTCAAGGATTTATCAATCAAATCTAACTTGTGATTGAACTTCAACTCTAAAGCTATCAAAATCTAGAATCACAAGTTAGATTCATTGGTACACTTCTTTCAAGTTTAGTATTATTATCGTTTTCATCTTTTTTTGAATGATAAGATCCAATATTAAATGATTTGAAGGCTTTTTTAGTGGAGTTTTTATTCATGTATGAAAAACATGATACAACTTGTCTTGTAATGAAGAAGATTTGTATTTTAGAATAAAGCAATCAATCTGTAATATCATATGCTTCACAATTTGATAACTTACAATTAATATCAAGTAGAATGATATTGCATTTATTAGCCAATTTCTCTATGGATTACAATATGAGGTAAAGAAATTGATGTTTAACTTATCTGATCCTCAAACATTAAGTTACACAATTTTCTTTGCTGTAAAATATGACAATAGATTTTTCAAATTTCAATCTGAGAGTCAGATAAGTCGGCCTCAATGTTACCATAATTTAATAGCAACAGCAATGCCTCCTCAACTCATACATTTAAAAGTAGAGGATATGCAAATTGATGTGATATGTTTCAAACCTCTTATTGACTAAGAAAAGACTCATCACCATTAGAAAGGATTGTGCTTATATTGTACAGAACCTAAGCAGACTACTCAATATTGTTCAAAGAAGCAACGTAATTATAAAATGAAAAGTATGAATGTTAAAGAAGATAATATATAGGAAAATAATTTTGTCTAACTATAATACAGATCATGTCACTCGAACCTTGTACAATACCTAATGAAGGTCCTATTCTCTCCTTAGAATCCTCTTTTTGTTTTATATTAAATATTATTTTAGGACCTATACATTACAAAGCCTCTTCCTTGTTAGATTCAAGAGTCTCAATATATTTCTTAGATGAAGAATTTGCTAAAAGACATAACATATCTTTAGTAAATAAAATTAAAAATATTCATATAAAAGTCATAGATAGTCGCCTATTATCTTTTAGAGATGTTACTCACAAAATCCTTCTTATAGAAGTAATAACTAATAGTTATAATAGCTTTGTGGTATTTAATATCAATAGATCTCTTTTTAATCCAATCATTTTAGTAGTTAAAAAAATACAACCCTTGAGTAGATTGGATTTCTTGTACTCTTGACTTTTCTAAAAATATAACTAAGAGTATTATTAATCAAGTAAAAAATCACA